CGAAGCACCATGCTACCACACCACATCCTACTATGCCCAGCCACCCCATGCCAAGCCATGCCAAGCCATGCCTTTCAGTATTCCTGGGTTCTGGGATTCTGGAAATCTGAGGTTCTTGGATTTTGGGAACCTGGGATGTCTACATCCCAACGTTATAAGATTCTGCAACGCTGGTGTCAAAGGGTTAAGGAATCCCAAAGTACCACACTACAGGGTTTGGGGAGCTGACAAGTTGAAATTTTCACATTCTAGGCTTCCAAAATGCTGGCAATCTGGATTTCTAGAATCAGGGCATGCTGAGATTTCTGAATGCTGGGATTCTGGAATGTTTCCACAATCACAGCAAGCCTACATCCAAATGCTAAGACTCTAAGTTCCCAGAGTCCCTATAGGATGCTGAGAATTTTGGAAATCTGAAATTCAAAGGTGCTACATTTTCTTTTTATTTTAAATGGATGTTTTATTTTCTCTTAGGTTTATCATTCTGAAATATTTTGGTTACTGAAGTAAAGTTGAAAGAATAATACAATGAACACCCATTATATGCATTACCAGATTCCCAACAGTCAGCATCTTCCCACATTAGCCTGTTCGATCTATCTATCTATCTATCTATCTATCTATCTATCTATCTATCATCTTCCTAAATAATTTGAATGACACTTCACCCCAAATGCATCAGTGTGTGTCCCCCAAGAACAAGGACATCTTCCCCCAACAACCACAGCCACAACCATCACCCCTCAAGAAATCTAATCTGGATGCAATAATATTACCCAATATAAATTGATACTCACATTTCTCCCAGGGTTCCCAAATGTCCTTTATAGATGTTTCTTTTCTTTAAACCCAGGATTTGGCCCTGGTTGGGTGGCGCAGTTGGTTAGAACATCGTCCCGGTTGCAATTCAATTCCTAGTCAGGGCACATACAAGAATCAACTAATGAATGCATAAATAAGTGGAACAACACATCGATGTTTCTCTCTCTCTCTCTCTTTCTCTCAAATCAATCAATAAAATAAATAAATAAACCCAGGCCTTGCCACCTCTCCAGCTCCCCAACACCTGCTTTGGGCCCCCTGCAATCCCACCACATTCCAACCTCTAGGCCTTTGCCCAGGCTGTGCCCTCTGCTCAGGTTGCCCTCCCTTGTTGCCAGCCCACCCGACCTCCCTTTCCTATTCTCTGTCTCTCTCTCACCTGAAGGGTTGCCATCCTACCTGAAGCACGCAAGCACCGTGGCAGGAGGGTTCTTCAGCCTCTACCACTTCTTCCAGCTGCACATGGTCTGGGTTGTGCTGCTCAGCCTCCTGTGCTACCTCGTGCTGTTCCTCTGCCGACATTCCTCCCATCGAGGCGTCTTCCTCTCCGTCACCATCCTGATCTACCTGCTCATGGGGTATGGGTGTGAGCCCTCGTCCCCACACTGTTGGCAGAAGGGTGGGTGGGCCCCCATGGGTGGGTCCCCTGGCTGCTCCTCGTGAGGTTGTACAGGACAGGAAGAGCACAGGGTGTTCCTGGAGGAGGGAATGTGGGAGACTAGTTATTTCTAAAGGCTGTACAGGACAGGCTGGGCTTGAGCTCCCCCTGGAGGAGGGAGTCCTGGAGAATTATTCCTCCATGAGGTTGTGCTGGACAGGGGTATAAGCCTCTCTGAACCTTGATCCCCACCTCCTTTTGTGGTCTCTGAGGCCATGGGAGTCATGGGCCCAAGACCACCACCTTTTTTCCTCAGTGAGATGCACATGGTGGACACTGTGACGTGGCACAAGATGCGAGGTAGGAAGCCCTGGCTCTCTCACCTGCCCCTGCCCCACTCTACATCTAACTTCCCCAACCCTGTCTTTCCTTCCCACTTTGGTCATTCATCTGTCCCCCCCACTGGACAGGAAGGCCTCAGATGCCCTTTATATCTGTCTCCCTCTACTATGCCTCCCTCCCCCCATCTGCCTTTCCCATCTCATGTATGTGCCTCACTCTTGAAAAAGGGCATCTGCCAGTCCTGGGCCTACCTGCTCATCTGCCTATAGACTCTGTGCCCACTTGTCCACCCTTGAACTTCTCTTTTCCTACCACCCCTCACCTGGTGCTCCCCCTCCCCCCATGCTGACCTGCTCTGTGCCCATTCACTTGATTATGGGCACCACACATAGGGGCCCAGATGATCGTGGCCATGAAGGCGGTGTCTCTGGGCTTCGACTTGGACCGGGGCGAGGTGGGTGCGGTGCCCTCACCCGTGGAGTTCATGGGCTACCTCTACTTCGTGGGCACCATCGTCTTTGGGCCCTGGATATCCTTCCAAAGCTACCTACAGGCTGTCCAAGGTCGCCCTCTGGTGAGGTCCTGGGTGGACAGGTGGGCAGGGACTGTGGGAGCCCCCACAGGGCAGTCTTCATGGAGCCTTGATCCCCACAGAGCCGCCGATGGCTGCAGAAGGTGACCCGGAGCCTGGCGCTGGCCCTGCTGTGCCTTGTGCTGTCCACCTGTGTGGGCCCTTACCTCTTCCCGTACTTCATCCCCCTTGATGGTGACCGCCTCCTTCGAAAGTGAGCACGGCCTTCGAGGCCTCTGCCCTGCAGAGGGGGTTGGGTAGGGACCTGGGGTCTCCCCAGCTCTGAGCCTGTCTCTTAATGCTTCTGTCTATCTTCTGTTACTACAGCAAGAAACGCAAAGCCAGGTAAATGAGGGCAGGTGCTGAGGGCGAGTGGGCTAACTGGCGGGTGGGGGCATAGTCTGTGACCTCTTGGTTCTGTTAAGTCTGAGACTATCTGACCATCTACCCCATGACTGGACCGAGATTGAATGTCTGTCTGTGGCTGTTGTTTGGCCAAGATTGGCTCTGTAACTCCATGTATGACTGACACCCTGACACATACTATGTATGAATGTCCATCTGTTCCGCTGTTTCACCTTGAGAAGCCAATTACATGACTGCAACAGGGAGTGACAAGTATGGGTTGGCTGGTGATGCTGACCTGTCTGAGACTCTGGCTAGGCGTGTGTATGGGTTGTTTGTCTCTCAGCCGCTGACTCCCGATGTGGGACTGGAGTTCTGGCTGTGCCATTGTCAATGACGGGGTGTGTGGCTGTCGTTGGGTAAGTCTGGCTTGTCTGTAACTCTGGCTGGGAATGGGTCTGACTGTAGCATGTTATGTGCCTCTCTGATGGGCCTGCCTGTGGGTCTGCCTTCTCTGGCTGCATGGTGTTGTCTAGCTGAGGGGTTGTGACCGACTGACCATCTGCCTCTGGTATAACTAGGATTGGTATAATCCAGCTCTTTGATTGTATGGCCCCTCCCTTCCCCCTACTCACTGGCAGCTGATTGTGTCTAATGCTGAACGAGGCTCTGGACGGTGGAGTGACTTGCCCAATGTCACCCAGTTAAGCAGCCAGGCGTCAATCCCAGGCCTGATTCCAGAACCAGCCTTTTCCAATGCAGGACTCTGCCTGTGTCTATTGTATGACTGACAGGATGACTGTTGGGGGTAGACTTGCGTATGTGTGCAAAGCAGGGAGCTTGATGATCTCTGTGCCTAACTACAGGACTTTTGTATGTCTTATGGTCACTGAGTCAGGTTAGAGAGCTGCAAGGCTGGGAGTCTGATACTATTTGTGTCTGGCCACGTGGCTGTGTCACGGTGTAGGGCTGTTAGGACGGGCCTCTGATAGAGGCTGGGTCTGGATGTCTGGCCATGTGAGACTGCGGGACTATATCATACTGTGGAGCAGCTCACACACCCATCTGAGCCCCATGAAACTGACCGTGTATGCATGTGTGTGGCTATCACACTGCACCTATGTTTTTGCCACTATGTTTCTGTCTTGTCTAAGACCAACTCAGGCCAGCCTCCTGGGCCTCTGACTCTCTTTCCTTTCTTCTCTGCTGCCTTCCTGACCCCTGGGGGCCTTAGGGGCACCATGGTGAGGTGAGTCTACAGAGTGGGGCTGGGGATGATGGCACATGGCGGGGTGTCATGCCGGCCCCTGGGCATGATGCCTCTCCCCCTTCTCCTTTCCCCCCAGGTGGCTGCGAGCCTACGAGAGTGCTGTCTCCTTCCACTTCAGCAACTATTTTGTGGGCTTCCTGTCTGAGGCCACGACCACGTTGGCAGGAGCTGGCTTCACCGAGGAGAAGGATCACCTGAAATGGTGGGAAGGGCTGGGGGACCATCCTCTCCCTCAGGGTGTTGCCTAGAGGAGCTGCAGGGAGGAAGTGGGTGCTCCCGTGGGAGGAAACAGCCAAGACGAAAGTGTGGCAGTCAGATGAGCTGAGATCCCAGATGAATTTGTATACCTTTTGCCCACAGGGACCTGACAGTGTCCAAGCCACTGAACGTGGAGCTGCCCCGGTCCATGGTGGAAGTTGTCACAAGCTGGAACCTGCCCATGTCTTATTGGCTAAATAACTGTGAGTCATCAAGTCACCCATCCGAGAGTGGGGAGTCCTCACCCCAGGCCCTTTTGCATAGTCATAGAACATTCACTGAGAACCTACTGTATGCTAGGCTGAAGGTACTGCAGGGACCAAAAATGACAACAGCCCCAAATCCCTGCCCTTGTGGAGCTGGAATTTCTGTGGGGGGAGCACATTATAAGAGAAAAAATAGCCCAGCCAGTGTTGATCAGTGGTTGAGCGACGACCTATGAACCAGGTCACAGTTCGATTCCAGGTCCGTCAGGACACATGCAGACTTGATCCCCAGTAGCGGGTGTGCAGGAGGCAGCCGACCAATGATTCTCTCTCATCATTGGTGTTTCTTTTTTTAAAATATATTTTATTGATTTTTTACAGAGAGGAAGGGAGAGGGATAGAGTTAGAAACATCGATGAGAGAGAAGCATCGATCAGCTGCCTCCTGCACACCCCCCACTGGGGATGTGCCCGAAACCAAGGTACATGCCCTTGGCCGGAATCGAACCCGGGACCCTTCAGTCTGCAGGCCGACGCTCTATCCAGTGAGCCAAACCAGCCAGGGCCTCATTGGTGTTTCTATCTCTGTCTCCCTCTCCCTTCCTCTCTGAAATCAATAAAAATATTATTTTAAAAGAGAGAAAAATACACAAGAGTTCAGATGGCGATGAGTGCTATGGTGAAAAATAATAATAATAAAGCAGGAAAGGATGATCTGGAGTGTTGGCAGTGTGGGTGGGATGTCGCAATTTTAAGTAAATTAACAGAATAAGTCCCACGGAGGAGGTGACATTTGAGCTGAGATCTAAATAAGGTGAGAGAGCAAGCACTGTAAATATGTGGGGGAGGAGTGTAACAGATGGAGAGAACAGCCAGTGCAAAGGTCCTGAGACAGGAATGAGCATGGCATGTCTGAGGAGACTGGGTCAGCAGAAGGAAAGAGAGCGAGAGGGCCAGTAGCAGGAGGTGAGGTTGGAGAGGTGACGGGGCCTGGTCCTGTGGGCCCTCACTGGCCACAGGGAGGACTTTGGCCTTTTCTCTGAGAGAGCTGGAGCCACAACAGGGGTCTGAGCAGAGGAGGGCTTTGGGCTCACGGGTTGTAACAGGACCCTCTGGCTGCTGTGAGGACAGATGGGGAGGGAGCCAGGTGGAAGCAGTGAGGAGGCCCCTGCAGTAGTGCAGGTGGTGGAGGCAGTGGACATGGCGAGGAGAGGTCAGATTCCGGGTAAATTCTGATGGTGAAACTGACAGGATTTGCTGAGTTTGGTTGTGGGAGTGCGGGGAGGGCAGATGCAGGATGATTCTCAGGTTTTTGCCCTGAGGAACTGGAACGATGGAGTTGATTGACATTGGCTGAACTTGGAGAGACTGCGGGAGAAATAGATTGGGAGGAAAGTTCAGAAGCTAAGTTTTGGACAGAGGAAGTATGAGACCATTCCAAAGACTTTATCCTGCCCTGACCAGTTTGGCTCAGTGGATAGACCATCGGCCTGCAGACTGAAGGGTCCCAGGTTCAATTCCGGTCAAGGGCATGTACCTTGGTTGCGGGCACATCCCCAGTAGGGGGTGTGCAGGAGGCAGCTGATCGATGTTTCTCTCTCATCCATGTTTCTAACTCTCTATCCCTCTCCTTCTCCCTTCCTCTCTGTAAAAAATGAATAAAATATATTTTTTTAAAAAGACTTTATCCTGGGGCTTCCAACCCCGCCCGATGGTCCCCCAGGGCAGGAGGGAATCTTGGGAGACTCTTGACCCGCATCTCCCTCTTGCAGATGTTTTCAAGAACGCTCTCCGCCTGGGCACCTTCTCAGCCGTGCTGGTCACCTATGCAGCCAGCGCCCTCCTGCACGTGAGCAGGGTGAAAGGGGATCAGGGTGGGAGCGGGGCAGGGGTGGCAGGGCCTCCTCTTCACTCACCTCATTGCCCCCTGGGGCCCCACCAGGGCTTCAGCTTCCATCTGGCTGCGGTGCTGCTGTCCCTGGCATTTATCACTTACGTGGAGCACGGTGAGTTTAGAGCCCAGCCTAGGAGACAGGATGGAAGGTTGGTAGGGGGCTAGAACCACTGTCCCCTAAGGCTAACCTGACCCCCTTCCCTCCCCCCCATCTACCCCAGTCCTCCGGAAGCGCCTGGCTCGGATCCTCAGTGCCTGCGTCTTGTCGAAACGGTGCCCACCAGACTGTTCACACCAGCATCGCTTGGTGAGGGTTCAGCCTGGGCAACCTCAAGCCCAACACCCGCCCCTCAAAAATGTTGCTTCTGTCTCCATCTTATATGTGTCTCAGGGTGCCCAGCTTCCTGTTCTGGTGCCTGAGCCATCCCAGAACCTCACCTCTGTTCGCTGCCATGCGTCTCTCTAACAAACATTTATCAAACACCTGCTGTATGCACACCAGGCATTCATGTCCCCAGTGAACATTTATTGAACACCTGCTGGTACCAGGCACTGTTTTAGATGCTGGAGACACAGTGGTGAACAACAGATTATAAAGTTCCAGCCCTCTGGGACAAACATTTTAACAGGGGAGTCAGTAAATAAAAAATAAGTCAGTAAAGTATAATAGTTTGTTAGACAGTGATTAGTGCCAAGGAGGAAATACACAAGGGAAAGGAGAAGGGAATTATCAGGGGGTGAATGGATTCCATTTTAGATAGGGAGGTGCCTTTTGAGTTCCTTAGCTGAGGGAGGTGAGGGACAGAAGCTTTCCAGGCAAAGGGAAGAACCAGTGTACAGGCCCCAAGACGGGAGAGGGCCTGGAATATTTGAGGAACAGCGAGGAGGCCAGTGTGGCTTGAGCAAAGCGAGCAAGGGGGAGAATGATGGGTCCTGTAGGACATGCTAGGAATTTACTTTTGATTTTTGGTTTTTTGTTTTTTCCTTCTGCTTGCAATAAGAAGTATGGGCAACCTCAGATTTGTCTCCTATCAGACAACTGATGTTTCTTACCATAAATCCCCGAGTCAGAGCTCCACCATTCTGCCTCCTTTGCCTGAATACTCGCATCTCCCCCAACCTGGACGCCCTCAATGCAAACACTACCCTGAGCCCTGGATACCTTTTGGGCTCCCATAAGAGGATCTGAACCATCTCTTTCCTACCCGGGGGTGCCACGGACATCCTCATTCCTGGAACCCACTGCACTTTGTGCATCTCCCTGGGCTCCCCTGCCCAGGTGGGACTGAGGGACAGTGAGTAGGTCCAGCTGCCAAGCAAATCCATCTGTCCCCCACAGGGCCTGGGGGTACGAGCCTTAAACCTGCTCTTTGGGGCCCTGGCCATCTTCCACCTGGCCTACCTGGGCTCCCTGTTTGATGTCGATGTGGATGATACCACAGAGGAGCAGGTGAGGTGGGGCCCTGGGCTGGGGGTACCCAGGGATGTGCCACCTGCTCATGGGAACCATGAAGACAAAGGGGGGCGGGGAGGCTGAGACATGAGGACCTTGTGTGGTGTGTCTCCAGCTTGTGCAGCCAGTGCTCCTCGGTCCTTCCTTCCCGTTGTCCCTCTGGTTGATTGGCACTGCTGCGTCTTTTATTTGGGTGAAGTTTGCAAAATATATTTATTTTACTTATTTTATGGAGATGGAATGCAAAATCCAGGTTTTACTTTTTTTTTTCAATTAGTCATCTCATCATATTTTTGTTTAGGTCGAATCTGCAAGGTTTGTTCTTATTTAATTTTTTTTAAAAATCTTCACTCAAGTTGATTATGCAAACTCTAGATTCTACTTTTAAATGTATATTAAAATGGATAGGCTATTTTTATTCATGTGGAGTATGCACATTCCAGATTTTACTCCTTTTTAAATTAAAAACAATTTCTAAAATAATGTTTTCTCACATAGCTCTTGCAGGATCCAGGTTTTGCTTTTCTTTTAAATTTTTGTTTTTAATTAAAAATAAAACTTTATATTATTTTCATCATTAAAAACAGCTTTTAATTTTTAATCAGGTTGAGTGTGCAAATCTGGGTTTTGCTTCTTTTTATTTTGGGGGTTCCTTTTTATGTTGCTTTTCAAAGAGAGTAGAAGGGAGGGGGGAGAGAGAGAGAGAGAGAGAGAGAGAGAGAGAGAGAGAGAGAGAAACACTGATGTGAGAGAGACACATCAACCAGCTGCCTACCACACACACCCGGATCAGGGGGTGGGGAGTGAACCTGCCCTTGACCAGGAATCAAACCCGAGACCCTTTGGTGTGTGGACCAATGCTCTAACCACTGAGCAACCAGCCAGGGCAGGGTTTTGCTTCTTTTTAAATAAAGTTTTTATCTTGTTTTAATCAAAATATTTAAAAATAGTGTATATCACAAAGTTAAAAAACCAAACCGTATTCAAGATATTCAGGGAAAAGTCTTGCTCCTACGGTCTACTCACTGCCCTCTTACAGGTAACCACTTTCCTTCATTTTATTAGAATATCTTTCAAAAATGTAAGCATAATAAGCAAATATAAAAACATCTTTTGATTCCCTCCCCTGGTTTTTACCCTAAAGGTAACTCATGGATGACAGTGTGCGCTACATGTTGCTTTTCTATATAATAATCCTTGAAAATCTTCCACATCAGTACATAGAGTGTCCTCACTCATTTTTTTCCACTGTAAGGCTATGACACAGGGTAGTTTGTCCCTTATCAGTGGACACCCAGGTGATTTCCAGTCCTTTCCTATTGCAAATGACATTGCAGCAAGTAATATCCTCATACCCATGTAGATTCACACAGGTGCAGACAGAACTGTAGGATCGATTTTTGGTAGTCAAAATGGAGACGTTACCTTTTTGCTCTCCCACCAGCAGTGTGTGAACCAACAGAGTGCCTCTCAGACTTTCTGGATGTTTTTGCCAGTTTGAGAAGAGGAAGATTATGAGTGAGGCCATAAATTTAAGAGCTGTTTGGTTTTTTCCTTTACTGAGAATGGTCTACTCACCTCCTTTGCCAATTTTTGTCTTTTTAAAATATTGATTTCTAGGAGCTCTTTACATATAAAGGCGAGTACAGATCAGAGAGTGGGGTTATCTTGTCCTGTCTTTAAAATTATTTCTAAAGAAAACATGAAAGAAAAAATCTAAATCTTACGTTTTATATTCAAAGTACAGGTCAGACAGTGGGGTTGAAGAAGAAAACACAAAGGAAATAAAACTAAACCTGTTTATCTTTCATATCACCCAGTTTTTTCTCTGGGGCCTCAACTAAGGTCACCATGGAGTCACAGAAATGGCCTTGAGCAAAGGATGGGTTTTCTTAAGACAGTGATGGCGAACCTATGACACGCGTGTCAGAGGTGACATGTGAACTCATTTTTTTGGTTGATTTTTCTTTGTTAAATGGCATTTAAATATATAAATATCAAAAATATAAGTCTTTGTTTTACTATGGCTGCAAATATCAAAAAATTTCTATATGTGACACGGCACCAGAGTTAAGTTAGGGTTTTTCAAAATGCTGACACGCCCAGCTCAAAAGGTTCGCCATCACTGTCTTAAGACCTTCTTTGTTCTTGCTGAGTGGGACCATCACCTCTTTCTCTCCCACAGGGTTATGGCATGGCATACACTGTCCACAAGTGGTCAGAGCTCAGCTGGGCCAGTCACTGGGTCACTTTTGGATGCTGGATCTTCTACCGTCTCATAGGCTGAGGCACATCTGTGGACCCTCCAACTTCCCTCAAGACTCAACCCCTCCTCAGGGTGCCAGCTCTGATGGAGGATGAGGGATGGCCCTCTAATTCTTGACCCCGCTCCATCATAGTCCCCCTAACACCCTTACACACACACACACACACACCATTTTCATGCCTGCTGATCCCCACCCCACCACAAGGCGGGAAGGGGGTGGTCCCTGCTGGGGCCAAGGGATGGGGGATGCTTAGGGAAGCAGAGAGGGGGAGATGCACAGAACTTCCCGCCTTCCCACTCCCTTTTTATATACAGTTTGTTATTGTCAAATAAAAGTAGGAAATATACAAAAGACTCTTTCTTCACTGCTTAGTGGGAAATAGAAGTGAGTGAGGAAGGGGGTACAGCATGGATAAAGGTTTGGAAGCTGGAAACCATGAAGAGGGAACAGTTTGTGATTAGTTCATTGTTCATGATTGGATGATGAGATAGAAGATGGCATTGCCTGATATAAGTAGGACTGGGACAAATTAGTTGTGTGTGGGGGAGGCCTGATACCAATTGGCAGGAAAACTGGTTGCTCTAGCTGGGACAGAGAAAAGAGCAAGACACAGTTCAGCCTGGCCAGCATGGCTCAGTGCTTGAGCATCAACCTATGAACCAGGGGGTCACAGTTCAATTCTAGGTTAGGGTACAGGCCCGGGTTGCAGCTTGATCCCCAGTGTGGGGCATGCAGGCGGCAGCTGATCAATGATTATGTCTCATCATTGATGTTTCTAACTCTCCCTCTCTCTGATATATATCTATATATATATAAAAGCCTAAGAGACCGGCCAACCGGCCTACTGGCCAGTAGCTATGATGCACACTGACCACCAGGGGGCAGATGCTCAATGCAGGAGCTGCCGAGCTGCGGTCACTTGGCAGCGGCAGTTCTCAGGTGACGCACCCAGAACCAGAGAGGAGGGAGCCCGATTCCTGCCCTCTTGCAATCCGGGACCCCTCAGGGGATGTCAGAGATCTGGTTTTGGCCCAATCCCCACAGGCCAGGCCGAGGGACCCCATCAGTACACAAATCCGTGCACCGGGCCTCTAATATACACACACACACACACACACACACACACACACACACACACAGTTGATGCTTACGACTAAGGCAGCGGTTTTCAACCTGTGGGTCGAGACCCCTTTGGCGGTCGAATGACCGTTTCACAGGGGTCACCTAAGACCACCCTGCATATCAGATATTTACATTACGATTCATAACAGTAGCCACATGACAGTTATGAAGTAGCAACGAACATAATGTTATGGTTGGGTCACAACATGAGGAACTGTATTTAAAGGGCCAGAAGGTTGAGAATCACTGGACTAAGGTTTATGAGTTGTAATTAGACAGGAGGTTTGGGATGGGTAGCTTCTGACTGATTGTGCAGTCTGGGTGCTCACTGGCTAGAATTGTGGAGTTCAATTTTGTTCTTTAGAGCTGGCACAGGGAGACTGAATATCTCCATGCCAACTGGCTCTCAAGGAGTTTTGATTGGTTTTTCAGACCTGAAGTCGGGAAAGGTAAGGAGTCCTGAGCGCTGAGGTAGAGGGTAGAGGTGTATTTTACAGGATGTCATCTTAGTATTGTTTCCTTGTGCATTCGGGCAATAAGAATGAAGGCTTTTGGCCTTAGCGCCAGCCGTGGGCAAACTACGGCCCGCGGGCCGGATCCGGCCCGTTTGAAATGAATAAAACTAAAAAAAAAAAAAAAGACCGTACCCTTTTATGTAATGATGTTTACTTTGAATTTATATTAGTTCACACAAACACTCCATCCATGCTTTTGTTCCGGCCCTCCGGTCCAGTTTAAGAACCCATTGTGGCCCTCGAGTCAAAAAGTTTGCCCACCCCTGCCTTAGCCGGTTTATCTCCGTGGATAATAGAGGTCAGCCTGCGGACTGAAGGGTTCCTGATTGATTCTGATCAAGGGCACATGCCTGGGTTGCAGCTCAATCCCCAGTAGGGGGCGTGCAGGAGGCAGCCAATGGATGACGTTTCTCTCTAACCCTCTCCCTCCCTCTCTCTCTAAAACTCAATAAAAACCTGTTTTTTAAAAAAGAATGCAGGTTGTGTCTGGCAACGGATTAATTGGTCTGATTACAAAACGAGGGCAAAGAAGAGAGGACGCAATGCAATGCTGATTCAACAGATGATTGACTGATAAGAGGATAGGGAAACTGAAGCCAAGACTGCTTGCAAGTTGGTTTCGGCCGAAAACGCCCACCAACCGCGGCACTCCCTGCTTTCACCCACCTCCAGACTGGCTCAACCAACAACGAAAATGGCACCACGCCTGAGGGCGGGACCGGTGGCGCATGGAGAGCTCTGATTGGTTGACAGTGGCACTGGCCGCCTCCCAGCCCCTCCATTGGCCAACTCCATAAGACTAGGAACCTGGGAGGCAATGGGTCTGAACTAGGTTGTCACGGAGCCCGCAGGCCAGCTCAGCAGAGCCGGAACCTTGCTGGACAGGTCGCTGCGACAGCGCCGCTGGGTGAGTGCCCCCCCCCTCCGCCCCGCCTGCCATTCCATCCCGTCGCTCTCCGCTGCAAAACGGCCGGCCACAGGCGCGCCTGCGCGAGACCCTTTCCCCCTCCAACCCGCCACCACGCCACCCACCCTCACGCGCCTGCGCGAGGCCCCCCTGGTACCGCGTGGTCGTCCGGCCTACAGAAGATCCTCCTTCTCATTGGGCGACTGGACTAGAGGGTTCTAGTTCTGATTGGTGGTCTCTGCATTTAACCCTCCTTTCCTCTCTAAGCGCCGCGGAGACCTGTGCCTTCCACTTGCCTATTTCTTGCAGGTTGCCGGCCGTGTACGCTCTTGCGGGAAGCGTTTGGCTTTCCGCACGCTGAACGTGAGGGTTGGCGTTCTCGTTAGTCTTCTCTCTTCCGTCCTGCAGTTTCCAGGACTACAGAGAGGGACTAGCTCTCCGCTGAATGATGCAAGACACTGACTCCAGCAATGGGACCCAACCTGTTGTCTGTTTCTCCCCCAGCAGCCTGTGACCCCTGAGGGCACGGACCAAGCTTGATTCCTGTGTCTATCCTTACCAGGGCGGGACCAATGAGGGCTATGACCTAGTCAGATTCTTCTGTCTGCCCACCGGACTGTGACCAATGAGAGCAGGGACCTGTCCTGATTCCTGTCTTCCCCAGCTGACTCTGACCCTCAGGGCAGGGAGCTGGTCTGGTTACTGTGTTTACCACATATGGGTCCCCGAGGGCTGGAACAAGTTTTCATTCTTTGTGTCACCTTAAAGCAGCATATGATTAGTTTCGGTTTTAATCCAATTTCATAAGTCTAGTATCTGGTCAATTTAGACCATTTGCATTTTTTGTGATAATAAACCATTTGGATTTGATTTTATCATCTCATTCTGTGCTTTCTATTTGTTCAGGTTTTTCTCTTCCTTTTTTCTTCTTTCTACTTATCCACACACAGCCATCAGCCTACAAAGACATGGCCACCAATGCTAGCCCCTTGCACCCATACTGGCCTCGGCACCTGAGACTGGACAACTTTGTACCTAATGACTACCCTGCCTGGCATATAATAGCTGGCCTCTTCTCCGCAACGGGGGTCGTAGTTGGGACCACATGGCTGTTGTCAGGAGCTGCTGCCATCATCCGCCTGGGAACCTGGCGACGACTGTCACTGTGCTGGTTTGCAATATGTGGGTTCATTCACTTGGTGATTGAGGGCTGGTACAGCATCTACAGCAAGGAACTTCTTGGAGACCAAGCCTTCTTGTCCCAACTCTGTGAGTCCTGAGTTCTTTCATATGCTATGGGAGGGAATTTTTTGGGCAGGGATTGGCTAACAGCTTTTCTTCTATTAATTTATTTTAAATTTTTATTTAACTATTTGTCGCATATATATTCACATGAGTCAAAAAACAAACCATTTAAAGAGGTATGCAGCCTGGCCGGTGTGGCGCAGTGGTTGAGTGTTGAGCTATGAACCAGGAGGTCACAGTTCGATTCCCAGTCAGGGCATTTGCCTGGGTTATGGGCTCAATTCCCACTGTGAGGCGTGCAGGAGGCAGCAGATCAATGATTCTCTCTCCTCATTGATGTTTCTCTCTCTCTCCCTTCCTCTCTGAAATCAAAAATATATTAAATAAATAAATAAATAAGATAAAGAGGTATGCAGTGTGCCCTGACCAGCATGATTCAGTGGTTAGAGCATCAGCCCGTGCATCAAAGGGTTGAGGGTATTGTTCCAGGTCAAGGGCACAAACCTAGGTTGCAGGTTCAATACCCCACCCTGGTCAGGGTGTGTGCAGGAGGCAACCAATTGATAAGTCTCACATTGATGTTTCTCTTTCCCATCTTCTTCCCTCCCTCCCATTCCCTCTGAAAAGCAATGGAAAATATATCCTCAGATGAGGTTTAACAAATGATAAAAAGAAGCATGCACTGAAAATCTACCTTCTGTCCACCAAGTTTCCTCAATTATTAACCACTGTTAATAATTGCTTGTTTTCTTCCAGGGTTTATTTACACATAAATTATACACAGAAGTCTCAGTTTGCTCAATTGTAAAAGAGAGATAATAGTAATCCCCAAATATATGTAAGGCATTTAGAACAATGTTTGGCAAGCAGTAGATGCCATGTAATTGTTTATTACTATTATTATTTGGCAGACAACAGATGCTATATAAATGTTTATTATCATCATAATTTTTATTTTTCCTTTTATATAAACAAATGGTAACATGCTATATACACTTTCGAACTTTGCTTCTTTTAATCAGGTCACTCCTCATCAGCTCTTAAAGAGCTTTCAAAGCTTAAATGTTACAGAATTATTTGACTTGTCTAGTATTTTTTTAAAATATATTTTATTGATTTTTTTACGGAGAGGAAGGGAGAGGGATAGAGAGTTAGAAACATTGATGAGAGAGAAACATTGATCAGCTGCCTCCTGCATACCCCCTACCGGGGATGTGCCTGCAACCAAGGTACATGCCCTTGGCCGGAATCGAACCTGGGACCATTCAGTCCGCAGGCCAACGCTCTATCCACTGAGCCAAACCGGTTAGGGCAAGTATTTTTTTTAAATATATTTTTATTGATTTCAGATAGGAAGGGAGAGAGAGACAGACAGACAGACAGAAACATCAATGATGAGAGATAATCATTGATGGGCTGCCTCCTGCACACCCGCACTGGGGATGGAGCTGGCAACCCAGGCATCTGCCCTGACCAGGAATCGAACTGTGACCTACTGGTTCATAGGTCCATGCTCAACCACTGAGCCACGCTGGCCAGGCTTGACCTGTCTAGTATTAATGAGCATTTCTCCCAGTATTTTGCTGTTTTAAGTAATACTCCTTTTGGTCTCATGAATAAAACTGCTATGAACATTGTTATAAGAATCTTTGTGTGGGGCTCTGCTTTCATTTCTCTCAGGTAACTATGGAGGAGTGGCTGGGTTGTATGGTAGATGTGTGTTTAACTTTATGAAAAACTGCCAAACTGTTTTTCAAAAATGGCTGCATCATTTTATATTCCCACCAGCAGTATATGAGAGTTCTACACCCTCGCTGACACTTGGTGTGGTCAGGTGCTTCTTTTTTAAAAAAAATATTTTATTGATTTTTTACAGAGAGAAAGGGAGAGGGATAGAGAGAAACATCGATGAGAGAGAAACATCGATCAGCTGCCTCCTGCACACTCCCTACTGGGGATGTGCCCGCAACCAAGGTACATGCCCTTGACTGGAATCGAACCTGGGACCCTTCAGTCCGCAGGCCAACACTCTATCCACTGAGCCAAACCGGCCAGGGCATGGTCAGGTGTTTCTTAAATTGTAGACCTTCCAGTGCAGTGGTCGGCACACCGCGGCTCACAAGACACATGCGGTTCTATGGCCCGTTGAGTGTGGCTCTTTCACAAAATACCGACTTCTGCACATGAGCCACAAAGTTTCCTTTTTTAAAAAAAATATATTTTATTGATTTTTTTACAGAGAGGAAGGGAGAGGGAGAGGGATAGCGAGTTAGAAACATCGATGAGAGAGAAACATCAATTCAGCTGCCTCTTGCACGCCCCCTACTGGGGATGAGCCCGCGACCCAGGTACATGCCCTTGACCAGAATCGAACCTGGGTCCCTTGAGTCCGCAGGCTGACGCTCTATCCGCTGAGCCAAACCAGCTAGGGCAAGCCACGAAGTTTCAATTGCACTGTATGTGCAAGCCCGCACGTGGTATTTTGTGGAAGAGTCACACTCAAGGGGCCAAAGAGCCGCATGTGGCTCGCAAGCCGCGGTTTGCCGACCACGGTTCTATGTGAGTGCTATCTTATTGTGGGGTTTTAATTTGCTTTTACTTAACGATTAATGAAAGTTTGAGCACCTTTCATTTGTGTATTGACCATTTGGAAATCCTCTTTAGTGAAGAACCTACTCCAGTTTCCTGCCTGTTTTGTTTTTGTTTTGTTTTTTGTTTGTTTGTTTTTCTAACTTTACCTTATTTATTTATTTATTTATTTATTTATTTATTATTAAATCTTTATTGTTCAGATTATTACATTGGTTCCTCTTTTTTCCCACCATAACTCCCCTCCACCCAGTTCCCACCCCACCCTCCTCCCTCACGCCCCACCCACTGTCCTCATCCATAGGTGCACAATTATTGTCCAATCTCTTCCCGCACCCCCCACACCCCTTCCCCCCCAAGCAGTTATGGCTGCTCTCAGTCTTGCCCTCAGAGGCTTTGCTTCTCAATGTCCCGGTAATCGCTGCAAGTACCTCCGAGAGAAAGCTGCCCTCGAGTTCCAACTGATGCCAGACAGTCCCGCCTCTCCCGTATGAGTCTGGGTCCCCAGAGACTCACCCGGAACTGGAGCTCAGAGCCTGAGACTCCCTCCTGATTGAAAAAGACAACCGCGCCCTCAGCCGCCAGCCTGCTCCGCATGCGCCTCTGTATCTTAGTATTTTACTTCCACACCACACCTCCTCCGAGTCTTGGTATGCTTTTCTCTTTCCTTCTAGTTGTAGAATTTCCACTCAGCCAGCCTTCCTGTGGTTCTGGGTGATGTCCATTCCGTCTTTTAGTTGTATTTTTGAAGTGGTTGTGTGAGGCAGCAAACTCCGGTGTTTACCTATGCTGCCATCTTGGTTTTTTTCCTGCCTGTTTTTATGTCATGTGATCTGCCTTTTTCTTATTGATTCTCTGCTCGCGTTTTTCATTCATTCATCTGTTCACTTTCTCTCTCAGTCCCTTCTTCTTCCCTCCCTCCCTCCTTCTCTCTCTCTCTCTCTCTTTCTCTCTCATTGGCTACATCATTCACTTCATCATCTATACCTGCCTCCATTATTCTGCAGATATTTATTGAATGCCAGACAGTCACAGCAGCACTTACTGTTCTATGTCAGGTTGCACACATATCTTGCATACATATATTAACTCTAAAATCCAAACAGCCACCTCATTGTGGATGAGGAGTTGGAGGCATGGAGAGGTTATGAAACCTGCCTTATTACATGGGCCCTCAGCTCTCACAAGTGTGAGTTACTTTTCCTGCCTTTATTCATGTGTGTCTCTTGTCTTCTTCAGGGAAAGAGTATGCCAAGGGAGACAGCCGCTACATCCTGTAAGTGTTTGCCTCTGTCAAGGGAGACATGAATTGGTTTGGGGTGGTGGTGAGTCAGGGAGCACAAATGGGGTTCCCTGAGCTTAGAGCACAGTGATGCCAGTGTCGCCTCATCCTTTCTCCTGCAGGAATGACAACTTCATGATATGCATGGAGACTGTCACGGCTTTCCTGTGGGGACCACTCAGCATTTGGGTGGTGGTTGCCTTTCTCCGCCAGCATCCTGTCCGCTATGTCCTACAGCTCGTGGTCTCTGTGGGTGAGAAGAGGGCCCACACTGATGCTGGAGGGATTATCAGGGATGCACAGATATGGGGGCATCCGTGTGGGTAGGATCTTTCGATTGTGCCCACCCAGGGCTGAGTCAGATTGAATGATAAATTCCCTGAAGTTCTAGAACAGCTATGCCCCTCTCAGCCTGTGTTCTCAAGTGGGAAGTGTTCATTTCTCTTCCTCCTCCATCACAAAGTCTCCTGGGAAGGAGGTCGTGGTTTGATTCCTGGTCAGGGCACATACCCGGGTTGTGGGCTCGATCCCTAGTGTGGGTCGTGCAGGAGGCAGCCGATCAATGATTCTCTCTCATCATTGATGTTTCTGTCTCTCTCTCCCTCTCCCTTCCTCTCTGAAATCAATAAAAATATTTTTTTTAAATATTTTTTTAAATAACAGTCTCCTGTGAAGGTTACCTGAGGTGGCCCATGCTGGCAGGAAGTCCTTGGGTCCTCTAGGCTTGGGATTTCCAGCCTCTTTCATCTAAGGTTCAGTGTTCTTACATTGTTAGCTTTCTTTAGTTCTAGAAATCTGGGTTATCTTTAGTCCTGGAATCCTCAGCTGTCTTGAATGAAAGGATTTTGAGCTTCCTTAAATTCTGGAGATATGAGCTCTCCTGGGTTCTGAAATTCTCAGCTTCCAATTTCTGGAATTGTCACTTTTCTGATTTTTTAACTTTTTAGCTATATGATTTCAGAATTTTTACCTCTGAATTTGGGAATCCTAAGGACTGAGACCTCAAATGATGACTTGAAAAATGCCTTGGAATAGCTCCTCCTCCTCACATTTCCCTTCCACCTCCCACAGGTCAGATGTACGGGGATGTGCTCTACTTCCTGACAGAGTACCGTGATGGATTCAAGCACGGGGAGCTGGGCCACCCGCTCTACTTCTGGTTTTACTTTGTCTTCCTGAATGCCCTGTGGATGGTGGTGCCTGGATTCCTTGTGCTCGATTCTGTGAAGCAGATCACCCACGCCCAGAGCCTGCTGGATGCCAAAGTCACAAAAATGAAGAGCAAGCAGAAATAATGAGTGATGGACTGGGCTTTAACACGGGCTGATGACGAACTCTCCATCTGCCAGAAGAGTCTGTTCCTTGCTCCCACAGGTTGAAAGGACAAAGTGAATTGATCTGTCAAACTCAGGCTGATGGGTGGACACCAAAAGGGCCAGCAATGGGGAAGAAAGGAGCTGTGTGGAGCTATTGCAAGGAGCTGTTGGGACAAAAGTCCAAGAGAACCTACAAGGTCCGCAGTAGTGGTAATTTTTAAAACAAGGAAATAAAAGGTCTTGACCCTAACATTGAAAGATCTTTAATTACTGACCCCAAAGACACCTCTGTCACTCACTCATTTCACAGGCCACCATTATCTCAGCCACAGATTCCCATCCCCATCACATAGACCTTCAATCATGTAGACTTCACAAACCCCCATCACTAACTCCAGAAAGTCCCCTGATGGCTGATTAGATTCAGGAGTCACACACCTGCAATCTCTTTTAAGGAGTGACCTTCTACCCACATCCTTGGTGTTCTCTCCAGAACACACTTGCTCATTTTTTGCATTAGGGACAAGCTGAGAATTTTCCAAATCTTCAAGTTCTTCAATTTACTCAGCCTCTTGTCTCCTTATTGAGCACCCCACACATACCCCATCACTCAACTCACAGACTCCCCAGGTACTCCAAAAACCCCATCACTGACCCCACAGACTCACCCATCACTGCTCTAAAGATCCCCATCATTTACCCGTGACCCCACAAAACTCACCCCCACAGACCCTCCCATCACTTACCCTATATACCCCATCATTAACCCTTAAGACACTTATCACCCTCCCAACAACAGCCTTTCATTTGCCCCATAGACTGACCTCTATCACTCACAGACCTCTAGCAAACCATGGACCTATCACTTGCCCCAAAAGACCTCCCATTATGTACTCAACAACCCCATGACTCATCCTATAGACCCCCCCATCATGTATCACACAGACCCCTATCATTTACCCTAGCGGCCTTTCATCACTCACCCTACAGATGCCCCATCACCCACTCTTTAAAATCCCCATAACTTCCCTAGCTGGTTTGGCTCAGTGGATAGAGCGCTGGCCTGCGGACTGAAGAGTCCCGGGTTTGATTCCGGCCAAGGGCATATGCCTGGGTTGCGGGCTCGATCCCCAGTGTGGGGTGTGCAGGAGGCAGCCAATCAATGATTCTCTCTCATCACTGATGTTTCTATCTCTCTCTCCCTCTCCCTTCCTCTCAAAAATCCATAAAACATATATTAAAAAATAAAATAAAATTCCCATGACTCACCTTGAAAAATTCATCTCACAGTCTCTGTCATTAACTTCCTAGACCTTCAATCAAAAAACAATGGGTACTTGCCCTAGCCGGTTTGGGTCAGTGGATAGAGCATCAGCCTGCAGAGTGAACGGTCCCTGGTTCGATTCTGGTCAAGAGCACATGCCCAGGTTGCGGACTCAATCCCCAGTAAGGGGCATGCAGGAGGCAGCCAATCAATGATTCTCATTATTGATGTTTCTATCTTTCCCTCTCCCTTCCTCTCTGAAATCAATTTATATATATATATATATATATATATATATATATATTTTTTTTTTTTTTAAATGGGAACTTGACGAATTTAGAGGAGGTAAAAAAATTAGTAGACTGTCTCCAGGTGACCTGTGCAGAGCAGGACTTCAGTTCCAATCTTGGTTCTGCTTGAGCCTACAATACAGCTTTTGGGAAATGCCTCACTTTTATGGTCAAAGCTGTGAATTACTTCCTCACCTCCTATCCATCACTTACCTCATTACTTAAGGCATCCTGGCCTTCTTGCTCTTCCTCAAACACACCAGGCATAGCCCACCTTCCATCCGTTGCACTGTCTACTCTCTGTCACTTACTATCCCTTTGACCTTGAGCATGTTTCTTCCTGACCTTCAATGCTCTCATCTGTAAAATGCTCATAATAATAGTGACTACCTCATAGGGCTTTATGCAGATTAAATGAATCAACATATGTAGACTATCTGGCATACAATTTCTATTTGTGGAATGGAAGAATAAATCCATGAAAGAAAGAGTTCTCCCCAGGACCATGGTGAAGACCTCCTTTTATTATCTTGTTTCCATTATCTTTCCATCCAAGGCTCTCTCCACAACCAAGACAGAGGCTTCTGACCACATCATACGGTGAAGACCTCCTTTTATTATCTTGTTTCCACTATCTTTCCATCCAAGGCTCTCTCCACAACCAAGACAGAGGCTTCTGACCACATCATACCCACATCTAAAACCTGTGCTCCAGTGCAGCTATCGCCAACCTTTCAGACCTCACGGACCACCAGTGGTCCGCAGACCACTAGTTGGCAACTGCTGCTTTAGTGCACTCAGGATAAACTCCAAGCTCCAGGCTAATGTTTTGCTCATTCCATTCTACGGTAATTTTAATGAAAAGCAGACTCTCAAGCTCCTTGTTTCCATAAAAAATCCAGCAGTGCCGTAAGTATTTTTGACTCCAGCACCTGGGGTAAGAGAAATGTGCCAATAACCCTCTTCTGGCTTTCAAAAAAATCATTATTTATACACTAGAGGCCTGGTGCACGGATTTGTGCACTGGTGGGATCCCTCGGCATAGCCTGCGGGGATCGGGCCGAAACCGGCAGTCCAACACCACCTGCCACTCCTGCCTGCAGCTCCTGCTCATCCCGGCCCTGCTGTGCCTGCTGCTGCACCACTTGGTAGGCTTGCTGCAGCTACACTGTGGTCTCCAGGCAGCGGCAGCCAGCCGTGAGCCCTGCATCTGGCATCCGTTGGTCAGCTGAGCAGCACTCCTGCTGTGAGAGCACACTGACCATCAGGGGGCAGCCCCTGGTGGTCAGTGCACATCATAGCGACTGGTTGACCGGTCTTTCAATTGCTTAGGCTTTTATATAGATAGATTCCAGAAAATAGATGTCAATTTAATATTAGTACCAAGGCAACAAATTATTTCAAAAGATACCAAAACAGAATTGCAGTCTTCATTTAAAAGTTAATGTTAAGGGTAGCATCCATATAACGCTGCAACAATAGCTGAAGTCCAGTTATCTTACAGGACTCCTTTGTTAGAAATTACATTTGAAAAAAAAGAAAAAAATACAAAATACCAAAAAAAAAATTACATTTGCAAGAGCAGTCTGTATTTTGTCCAAACCATATGGATATTGTGCAGTAAAGTAAGGAGAATGTCTTTTTGCATTTTTCCATACATAGAGTTTCTCAGAGGAATCTAAGATATATTCAATCATTCAGCCAATATTTAGTGGACACACCATTTAATAAAAGGACCAACCTCAACATGTTGTCCTCAAGGATTAAATAAAATGAAGGTAAACTTTAAAATGCTAGGATCGCCGGGACTGGTTTGGCTCAGTGGATGGAGCATCGGCCTGCAGACTCAAGGGTCCCAGGTTTGGTCCCGGCCAAGGGCATGTACCTTAGTTGCGTGCACATCCCCGGTGGGGGGTGTGCAGGAGGCGGCTGATCGATGTTTCTCTCTCATCGATGTTTCTAACTCTCTATCCCTCTCCCTTCCTCTCTGTAAAAATCAATAAAACATATTTTAAAAAATAAAAATTAAAAAAATAAATAAATAAAAAGCTAGGATTGCCGAAACCGGTTTGGCTCAGTGGATAGAGCGTCGGCCTGCGGACTGAAAGGTCCCAGGTTCGATTCCGGTCAAGGGCATGTACCTGGGTTGTGGGCACATCCCCAGTAGGAGATGTGCAGGAGGCAGCTGATCGATGTTTCTCTCTCATCGATGTTTCTAGCTCTCTATCTCTCTCCCTTCCTCTCTGTAAAAAATCAATAAAATATATTTAAAAAAAATTAAAAAAAATAAAAAGCTAGGATCTCTAGAGAGCATAAAAATGACTTTTTTGGTAAATTAAGTATAATATGTGAACAAAATCACAAACATTTAAAATGTATGGCTCCATTGATTTTCACAATGTGTAAACTATTTTTTTAAAAGATTCGAGAAAAGGGTTATTTTTCTGTTCAGCGGATTCATTTGAAGAGGGCCACAGCATCTGAAATAGATGACATCATCTGTAAGCTGAGGCACAAGGCAACTTGCAGCAGGCTCTGGGGGGCCTTGACGTCATCGCGCAGCAGCTTCCTTTCCCCGCCCACTCCTCTCGCTGGAATAGGTCAACACTTTAACACTAACTAGGGTGAATCCGGAAGTAAACTATCCAAACAACCAAACCACGGACAAGGGGAGGTGGGACCTCAGTAGGCGTCTGCGCACTGGCTGATGTGAGGCAAAACACCCGGCGTTGTGGGGCGGGGCTCCTGGCAACAGCACTCTATGCGCACGCGCAGAAGCGACCTCCACTCTATCAGGTGTGGGGGTGCTAGGGTCGCGCAGTGCGCTCTGCGCCTGCGCCCAGGCGCAAGGTGGGGCCGCGGGCGCCCGCACTCTGGAGTGCGCGCAGGGGTAGGGGGGCGACCGTCACCCGTCACCCTCAGGCGGGTGGCGGCGGGATGGCGACGGCCACTGGGTCCTTGGATTTGGCCGGCTCTGGGGCGCCCCCGCCTGGTGGGGGAGTCCAAGCGGCGGCGGCTGAGGAGGAGGAGCGAGAGGTGGTACGGGTCCGAGTCAAGGTGAGGTCGGCTGCCGCTCAACCAGCTGGCCCGGGGCTCCCAGGGGAGGAGAAGGCGGTGACTGTCATAGGATGGAGGGTGGGACCTGAGATTTGGGGTGTCACCTGAGGGGCGAGGCTGGAGGGCCTGCCTGGTAATAGTGACAGGGGTGGAGTAGGCAGGACGTGGGAATGCGAGGCCAGGGCTGGAAGGCGTGGAGACTGAAAATGGCAGGATGGGGATTATGGTGGAGAAGAGGGGCTGTAGGGATGGAGGAGGGGCCTTGTTGAGGAGTGGGTCCCTGAGGATGGGGTGGGGGGGTTGCTGTCTGAAAAGGAGGCGCCTAGGTCAGTTAACATATGTGTTGAGAGCGCACTTTTGTGCAGGTC